GGCGTACGCAAGTTTCTGGGCTCAAATTGTGCGTACGCCAGTTTTATAAATCCGACCCCTGAGCACTTGTTACCACAGAAACATAAGTGCTTCGTAGCTCATGCAACCGATTCAAGGCTTAATTAATTCAGGTTTACACCAAAATCCCGGGTTAAACCCTTATCCCAGTTTCGTGCAAAAGGCTGGTTAGTTGTTTGGAAGTCTGTGTTATTGGTCARAAATCGACACGAGTGAGAGGTACTTCCTGGTATGTGAAGGTCGACTCTGTTGTGTTGTTGTGTTCATACACTTAAGTTGATCCCAACTTTGAGCCAGAGTGCATTCTGCTCTGTAGTGTATAACTTACACTGGTCTTATATGTTAGGCTACTAAATGCAGAATGCACCTTAAATGTATTGAAAAACAAAACAATAAATGCTCACACATTAGTGTAAGTAAATAACACAATTCTAATTTTAAAAATACACTTAATGTGTCATAAATTGACYCAATTCATGTTAAAATTTTAACACTAAAACCGTGAACGAGAATAACACAATTTTGAGTTAAATGTGCACTTATGCAGTGTCAAAAGAACACAAGTGGGTGTCAAATTTTAACACTATTAAAGGGTGAATATTAARGCTTTAAAAGTGTTAAATACTAACACTTTTCAAGGCGTAATTTTAACTCAGAATCTGTGAGAATTACATAAACTCAGAAAATGTGTTAAATTTAATACTCTGAGTTAAATTAACACTTTGGATTTTGCTGTGAAGCTGTTTTAGTATGACTTCATTGTAATGAAAACTATAAAACCTTACACATCTATACATTCAGAAAATCAGCATTTGTCCTCGAGAACCAAGTCTTTAAATACAAATTGTCATTTTTTTTACTCTTCACAGGTTGTAACAGAGTACAAATCTCCACAGTGAGTGTTTTTAAATAAACTTTTTTTGTTTCAATCATTTCTTAAATTTACCTGCAAACATCTTCACTGAAACACTCCTCATTGTTTCTACATGTATTGTAAATGATTGATATTTAAATTAATTGTTTACTGATAATAAAACCTGTTTTATAACCAGGGTTCCTGCTGAGGCTGCAATATTAAGATGATTGTGTTGGACTGAAAACACTTGTGAACATGGATTCTGTGACTCTCCAACACCACATGAACAAAAGACACAAGTTTGCCTGAACAAAATAAAGCTTTGTTTTGTCTCATGTAAATAATTCAGTGATGTTTGTGTTTGTATTGTTAACAAAATACATCATGAACCACAGAAACAGAATCATTTTTGTGGGGAGGGAGTTATTATGTAAAATCCACTTCTTTGAGCTTTATTTCATGTTATTTGTCATTCCTAGGCCTGTCGCGATAGTCAATAAATCAATTAATCGCACGATAACTTTTTTTGAGGTCGGTAAAAAAAAGACGGCGATAAGTTTCATTTTCCTGCTTGTTTGTTTACTTCGGCTTTCTCCCTCTCTGCTCCGCAACACAGGAGCTCCGCTGACCCCTCCCCTCCTGTTTTCTTAGTGTGGGAGGAGT